TGCGGAAGTATTACAATAGGTGGTTGCTTATCTCATTAACATACTTCTCGTTTATTGGGTAAATTAAGTATTGACAGCAACAATTACATAGGCTCACGATCGGTACATATTATATTATTGACATACAACCTTGATTATAATAAAATATTTTTAGATGCACCAGTATTGATATGTTATTATAACAGTTTAAGATTTACTACATTTTAATTATTTTTTTTTTAATAACTTCTTCGGTTTTATGATTCGTAAGAGTAATAAATTTATGTAAGTGGCTTGAATATGGCATACAATTAATAAAGATATACTGTAGATTAATTAAAGACATGCTGTAGAAACTATGTTAAAAATAAATTGATTTTGAGACATAAATAAAAAAAAAATAAGTACCCATTACCTTTCGCTACCCGGGCAACTGATCCAACCACTGAGCTACCCAGAACCTAATAGGACTAACGAATTTTTCAAGCACTTGTTCGCAATCCGGGTGACTACACTTATCACTGAGCTACCCATGACCTAACAGGGCTGACATAAATTTCAAGCAATTAATTTTCCAAGCACTTGTTCAACTGTTTGTTCAAGTGCTTAAAAAATTCGTCAGTCCTGGGTAATGGGTTCGAATACCATCTCAGAAGATCAGGGACAAAGTGGATTTTTTAAGCATTTTTTATTAAGAATATTTTTCAATGTGGCATTGTGAAATGAAAATTGATCAAATAAATAGTAATAATAAGTACTTAAATCAAACGAGCTATTGATTTGAGTATGAATATGATTTAGCTTTTGCATAAATTTTCTTTTCGCACGTCAAGTGCATTATTTTGCGACATTACATGACAGCGGATTTATGATCCATAATATTAAAAGTTTCATTACAGGGATGATAAATGAGATCATTAAAATCGCTTAAGCTATAAATCGCTCACTGAATACTACAGTGGCACAACTCAAAAACCATTATTTCAAGAAAACGCCACAATATTGTGGTGGCATCCCATAGATAATTTAAAGAAAAAATAAAAAACTTAACAGTAATAATATATGTCAAACGATTTAACTGTTATGCTACAAAAATGATTTTCATAATTATAAATATATTAAATTTTCATAACTTCGGAGAGCGTTTCTCGAAATATGGTTTTTGAGTTGTGCCACTGTTGTATTCAGTGAGCGAAATGCACAAGCGAAATTGGATTCTACATTGTTATATGTAAATAATATTAAAATGTTTGATTTAAGCACGATTACTACTACACGTCTATTTTCGAATGTTAATAGAACTTCCAATAAACGCATTTTTCAATAATTTATGATGCAACAGAGGTAGAACCTGACACTGCCTTTGATGTACAGATATTCTTCAAGGACATGATTTTAACAAATTTAAGAATTTTTTTCATTAAAGATAAATAGAATAACCTCAGGTGTCATGTCATATTAATTCGTAAGAGTTGTAATCATTATCTGACTATGTAATTATATTACCATTTATTCGTTGGACAATAAAGTTTGATATATAAATTAATATTTTCCAGCAACGAAACTTCATTGTTTGTACTAAACATTTAGTTAAAATTGCAATCAGTAACTGAATGTTTATATGATGAATACATTGAAGTCATTTTTAAAAGAAAATATTTAATTTTTTTAGAAATTAAAGATATTTCCATCAAGTTTTTCAAAGTATTTTTTGTCTACATCATGAAGTAGAATAAAATATTAATCGTGTAATTCAAATTTTCAATATTAATTATAATACGTTTATCGTTGAATAATTCTCATGTAAAAATAAAAGAAACAACAAAGAATCATAAATACTGTGGAGTTGCACGTGAATCACTTCAGGCCAGGGCGTGCTTCTGCACAACCAATTATTAGAACCTCTTTACTCGACCACTACTCTTATTGTATAGGTCTTAAGAGAATACGCAGATCTAAGATATTACACAGATATGCCTGTACAATGGATCTTTAATGAGTTTACTATTTAAAAGTTACTGATAAATTACCTATGCAAACGGATAGTGGAACTTACACCGCCCAGGTATTTAGTTTTACAATGATAAACGTCTTCTGGTTAAAGCAGTTTGGTTAATTACGTACAATTACGTAATTCTATCTAATTAAAACTTTAACTTTTTCAAAAACCGTCTACTTAGACACTCAATTCCCACTAAGCCAATTTAGAAAATAAACTTCTTAAGATTTTTCTTAGTTGATTTTGATACCCTCACTGACTTGGGGTAAGCGCATTGCATATAATATTTATTATCAATTGTCTAGACAATTTTTGACTTTAGAATCCTTAAATCCATTTGTTCGTTACGAAGACAAAATTTCCTGGATGTATTTTAATGCGTAATTTAGCTGCCATCCAAGAATTTCAATTATATGAATAATTTGCGTAAGTAGCGCAACTAGGTGCAGGATCGGATTAGTCTATTAGCATGGCCTGTGTGGTAGCGTCAATGGCCTCATTGGGGTCAAGAGCCGCTGGCAAACCTTTGACGTTTTTATTACTAACTAGTAATACCTGATTTTCTTTCCGTGAACACTGGATCCGAGGTAAATAATAATGGAATTTAAGCAAATAATTAATTTCGAGTAACTGTACCTAAATACATTCCTAAAAACGTTTTTCCGACAGAAATTAACATGAAAATATTATTTATAATTAATATAGTGATTGATAAATGTTCCAAAGCTTTGAATTTTTTTAACAAAAATCCTATTTACTGGTATGTGTGTTCTATTTTATTAAAATATACCAATAGAAAATAAGTTTCGTTTATATTCAATATTGACCTATTGGAGTCATTCACCTCAACAAATAATAATAGTATTGCGAATAAATGAAATGCTTCAATGTCATCCGCATGCTTGGGCGTGACTCGAGCGTTAGCGGTCGCAGGCCCCGATATGGTCCTCAATCGCAGATTATTTATTCCGATAGACCAGCACAGTGCACAACCGTGGCATCCGTTGGTGTGTTAAATTGTGTCGACACCAAGAACCACTATAAAATCAACCCGCAAGTGTGCCATAGATGGTTAAAATCGATAACAAATAACAATATCGATTTTCGCGTTTCATTTTTAATCTAGCATTGATAATGTAGCATGAAATTCTGCTAGCCAGTCACGACTATCTCGTTCTTTTTCAAAAATTAACTACGTATCTATTTCATGAACATGAATTTTGAAAACAAAACCGCAAAACAATTTATATACTGCCAAAATATACTTTCTCGACATTTGTTATGAATGAAACAGACAGTATCGCGAAATCAGCTGTAAAATAATGTTTTTTGTTAACGAGAGAAAGGTGAGCGACTGGCCCCAGTGACCGACTTGGAGGTTACTTTCCTCGTACTCATTGTTGTGTGCAAACATTTGGACGAAAATGAGTCACATTACTTGTTATCAACTAGACTGAATTATATTATTGTAGGTAATATTTACTTTAATCGAGTGCGAATCGAATTAGCATGCCGCACAAATGTCAACGTTTTTATTTTCTAAATAGATAGACACAAAAACTTGAATTTTGTGTTCGTTACGAATTCACATTGTCTTCGATAATTTTTCGTGTCACAGATGTTCTTATTTCATATGTAAACATACGCTTTCGATGAAGAGACGTTCCTAATTGAAGAGACGTTCTTAGATTACTGAATTAACAAATTTTGACAACCTTATTATGATAATTACACCTCAGCAGTCATCAAGTAAGACTACAACAGGCTAAATATAACCACAACTAGTTCTTAGGGTGAGGCTGGCACGCAATAAAAAATAGATTTCAATTAAAAAAAATGTATTCGTGCCACTGTTTATCTAAATGAAAGCGTAGTGATCGAAGAACTGGTATGACTGGTATGGATGCATCTGGTGGAATAACTCTTTAGTTTATTTCATGTAATCTACACTAATATTATAATTGAATAGGCTACGAAATTACAAAACCGATTTTAAAAATAAATTAACCTATGGAAAACCGCGGGAACACGGGAAAACAGCTTATAATAAATGATTAAATAAAACAAAAGTAATAAAAAACAAATTGGTTTTAAACTTAATCTGAAATAAAACCATGGATATTTAAAGTAGAAAAGAAAAACGAGATATTAAAAAAATAGGTTGTTAATAAAAACTATATCTCTCGTATCGGCAAAGTCGTATAATTATTATATTTTTCCATTTATATATTTTTCTTCTTTGGTTATTATAACGTTTTGTTAATGTCTTCGAAAACGCACAGAAGTATAACTGATATGATAACTATTTAGCCGTTTCTATGTTATTATCTTTAAAAGGTCGGGTCCGATCCGATATTTTCACGATACTTCAGATAAAGATAATATCAGAAAAATTCACCAGTTGCATTTCATCATCAGTTATCGAAATTGTTATCAATATATAATGTTATATCAAAAGAGGTGCCTACACATCTTTCTTACCTAAGTTATTTTTTAGTATCTATTTTTTGCCACAGTCGTTTAAAGAATTATCAAAGTAATCATATTTTTATTAGACCATACAATCTACGGTCACTTGATAGTTTTATTAATATTATGTGTAAATAAAATAAATTATATAAAAAAATTAAGTAAATTATAGGGTCTAATAAAAATAAAGACAGTCTCGTCTTATAGTTTGTACTTGTATAGGTATTGAATTTAAAATGCGGATAAATATAAAGTTAAATACTTATTGTCTATGCCAGTGGATCCTAACCCTTTTATAATGATTGTAACCCCTATAACCAATTAGGCAAGCTAAATTTACCCTGCAACCCTCTTTCCCTTACGGCGGGAAATTTAACTAAAGACGAAGCTACTCATATTTTATAGTTGTATTTTCGCTTAAAACATGTTTCAAATTAAGACCGTTTTATTTTACTATTTTAGTCTTATTATGTTCTGTTCTAGAATAGCTGGTTTATGCGAAAGTGCCTTTATCGTCTAGATGAATTCTTTATCAAGATAAGTGCTACTTTAACCATTCGGGTTTATCGCGAATGGTTACTACATTTTCAAAGTTTCTGAGTAGTGTACAAGATGGGTGGGCTAAAAATTGCTATATCTACCTATATATTATTAGTCTCAGCTTGTTATGCAAATGGTATACCTAGAGTTGATCCATTGGTAGATACGGAGTTAGGCCTGATCAGGGGTCTTACATCTGACGATGGCAGTTATTCAATGTTTTTGGGCATCCCTTATGCAACAGTTAACGTGTCAAATCCATTTGGGGTGAGTTACAAACATCTTGTTATTCGTAAGATAAATATTTAGTTTTTGTAATCACATTCTTCTAAATTAAATTAAATCCAGCAATATTTCATTAAAGTTATATGATTATTTTGAGGGTCTCAATAGCGCAGTGGTTAGAGATTTCGATTCACAAAGTGGAAGTTAAGCAACGTTCATAAGATAGGTGATAAAAAATTGATAATCTACAGCTCGTCCGTGCTTCTAAAAGCACGTTAAGCCATTGGTCTCTGCTGCATCTGCAGTTGTTTACACCCACCAAGCCGCTTTGAGCCCTCTTTGTGGTTCAGGGCCCATTCTCCCTATTCGATTTGTTTTGCATCCATTAACGATGATGAAGATAAATATGATTTTTTTTATTTCAGCCCTCCATCCCACATCCTAGTTTCGATAACACATTTGATGCTTTTGATGACTCCGCCATATGTCCTCAAATTAATGAATTCACCAACGAAGTGACTGGCACTCTGGATTGTCTGCATCTGAACGTCTACGTGCCAACTACTGCAAGCTCCAATAACCGCCGTCCAGTAATGGTCTGGATATATGGCGGTGGGTTTTCGATTGGCTTTGCTGGTAGATACGTCCACGGTCCAAGCTATTTAGTCAGACATGACGTCATATTAGTGACTCTTAACTATCGAATTGGGCCTTACGGTTTTATGTGTCTGGGTACCCCTGATGTACCAGGAAATCAAGGCTTAAAAGATCAGCTGATGGCCCTACGATGGGTTAAAAACAACATAGCAGCGTTTGGTGGTGACATTGATAAAATTACTATATTCGGAGAGAGCGCTGGCAGTGTTTCTGTTGATTTCCATTTCTTATATACACAGGAAAATCTGTTTAATCAAATTATCCTACAGAGCGGTACTGCATTATCACCCTTTGCAGTAACGGAACCAAATCGAGAGGTCCCATTGATATTGGCTCAACAACTTGGTTTTCTTACAAGCGATTTGAATGAAGCTTTAACATTTTTGACAACTATAGATACAGATCTCGTTATAGCAGCTAATAATCAATTACAACTGGAGCATGGGCCCTGTGTAGAGGAGGAGTTTGAAAATGTCGAACGTTTCATATCAGATCACCCTGTAAATATGAAGTTGGGAAATGGTGTCAACATACCAATATTGATAGGATATGTTGAACAAGAACTACTTACCTTGTATGTTAATCTTCCACCAGAATCCTACGCGTCTCTTAATATATTTGAGGAATCTCTAAGTCCAGTATTTAATTTTGATATTGAATATTTTGATAGCATGGTTAAGAATGTTCGTCAATTTTATATAGGCGATGAAGAATTAAGTGAAGATTTAAAATGGGATTTGATAGACTTTCATTCAGATATTACATTTAACTATCCAACATATAGAGCGATACAGAAGTACAGTTCAAGCGGTATCAGCAATGTATATTGCTACTTGTTCGCGTATAATGGCGACAGGAACTTCGTCAAAAGGCGACTGAACATAACCGAAGGCAGTGCCGCACACGCTGATGAAATCAGTTATTTGTTTGATGTGTCATTCTTCGATGAAGTTCCAACTCCCGATGATCAACTTATTATTGACCGTATGACAACACTGTGGAGTAACTTTGCAAAATATGGGTAAATATGCACATATACCTAAAGCCTTGCTAATTTTGTTAATATGTCAGTAACTTTGTCTATTATTAATTCATGCCTAAACCTGAGTCGATTTTAATGGAATATGGTACGGAGAGTAGATCTTAGGATAAGATAGGTTATGTTTTATCAAAAGGAATGAAAGTTTATATAGAATTTGTTATTAAAAGTTATAGAATTTGTTATATGAATTATATAACTATAACATATTTATTTTTCAGCAACCCCACTCCAGAAGAAACAAGTTTATTACCAATTCAATGGCCGCCTGTCACTGAAGAATCACAAAGTTTTCTTATAATTAATTCAGATCTTGAAGTACAACAAAGACCGTTTCATGACAGAATGGCCTTCTGGGATTTATTCTACAGGTTAAACAAGAATCAGGAGAATGGATATCGTGAAGATTAAACTCTACTAGGAATGTCGATCACGCGAATAACTTTCTAAAATCTATAATATTACATAGTACTCAGTTCTGGAAAAACTTGTCTCATCGTAAACCTCTATGCTCCCAAGCAACATTGAGATGAAGACCGAGACCAATAATATTTATAAATAAAAATCATTTAAACTACATTTTATTTTGTTAGATTAGGTGTGAAAGTTGACAGACAGTTTTTTGCATTACTATATTGCTAGGACTAATAATAATGTTTTACTTTAATAAATCTGCTTACTAAAATAAAGTTTTATTTAATCTTAATCAAATATTATAGTTACCCACCAATCCGCACCAGGCCAGCGTGATGGGTCATGGCCCATTCTCGATATTCAATTTGATTCGATTCCTTACCTATAGAAGGCCTCAGTTGTAGGGATATTATTAGGCTGACGAAGAAATATTATTATAGATAATCATTGAAAGATCCAAATGATATGCCTTTATGGTCACTAAAAGCAGACAGTAAATATTGAACAAAACGTTATCATGTAATGAAAACAATAATAATAGGTATATCTGAATGGGCTTGAAAATGATATTGTCTCTTTATATTGTCACATTGGCATTGATAAACATTAAGCTTAGGAAAATGTCTTGTGGGGTGCGACCGTATAACTCTCTATCCATAACTCTAGCCATAGGAAACGATATCATAGCGATGTTATGGCAATCTTTCATTCCATTTTACTAATTTGATAAACGACTAAATTGGAGCAGTGTTATTCTCTCAAACCCATAAACGTAATTTTTTTGTAATTAAAGTACACATCAAAGTAGTAAAATGAATATTTACTAAATTTTCTTATCCTATGGCTATAGATTTATGCGATCATCTCCAAAATGCTACTCAGTGGTTAGAGCAGTCGCCCGGATTTTGAAAAGTCATGAGTTCAATTAATATCTTAGAGTGCCAGGGACAAAGAGCATTTTTTAACATTTTCCATTCATTATAATGTTTTTCAGTATTGCATTGTCAATGCAAATTTGATCAAACATAATAATTTGTAAGTTTGTTTTCCAATGTGCTTGGTTAATTTAGTGTATTTTGTTAGGTTATAAGATTATACATATGACAAATTATATAAGAAATTGTTACCTGAGCAAAATAGCCGCCTTTTGTGTTTGTTATTGCATTGTAAATATGTTTCTTTAAAAATGTAATACTGCACAATTATTTATAGTTATTAAATATATCTTTATTATTTAACGGCAGGTACCACCATTTGTTTAGTTATTTACATAACGGATATAGTATTACGGTACAGTTATAAATATAATGAGCCGAGCGATGCATAATAATGATAAGAAAGATTGTATGAGCACTTTGATATTGTGGTGTTTGTGCTTTGTATAACACGAAAACTTATTTCGTTCAGATATAAATGCATTTTTTTAACAGTCTGAAAATATTATTCGACTCAGTGTTGATGAAAGCAACGATTATAAATATATTTTTATCTCACTAAAAGCAATTCTAGCTGAGAGGGTTATATAATAATGTAGTGAATCGCATAGAATAATATATGCAATGTCATTAGCAGAAGTTAGTTTTTGCACTTTGGCAAAATAAATACGAATTTAGTTCATGGCGTCATTAAACCTTTTATCTGACTGATTGTAAACGTTTAAACTTAAGCTTTAAAGTAATGGTTAATGATTGGTAGATCACATTCTGTTACATCTAAGGTTCGTCACTTACTTACATGCCAATTAATTACGCAATTTAACAAATTTCTTTTTCCGTCATTTGACCCCTTAAATAACAAATGTTCTACAGAAAGATCGAACGAATATTGAAACTTTCAAACATTAATCCAAAACACGATAAAATCCTTTTTTAGGCAGCAGTGTAAAATATATAATTATTACAACGAATCAGGCGTTAGACTAAAAGCTCTCTTGATGAGAGTTTACGATAAGATTGATGAAATAATTTCGGAGTTGTATAGCTAACTGTAATTGATAGATACGTCTTAGTGGTAGAGGAATCCAAAAGGGTATTTTGGGATTTACTCGAAAACGACAGATAGATGCTTGGCATCCTATATTGTTTTTGTTTCTACTAAGATTCGAGCGATGAATTGAATTTGATGTTTATTATTTCAATTAAAATGTTCATATGTAGGCTTTTACAACTGTTAGCAAAATATGAATTGATGTAATATTAAGTCATGAATTGTGTTTATTAAGTTGCTAAAATATTTGCAGTTGTCTCTAATAAAGATTATGTCGTATATTGAAGTGAAAAAAGTATTTAATCACAAACCAAATAGATGGATTTCCATCAATGAATAATATAATAGTTTAGATATATAATAGTTTGTTATTATAGAACATTAATAGGAGAATGCCTATGACTCAAACGCTGAAAATACTCTCCAAATGAAAAGTAATTATAAAAGAATGCGGGGACATTTCCGCTGAAAAACTAGATATAATAATAGAGATGAATCAAGAACTTCCTATTTAATGCTTTGATATCCTTTCAAAAATCATCGAATTAGAACACAAACGCGTTGACGCTCCATTGTGTTTCAAGCATTATTATATCGGTCGCATAAAAGAGCGCGTACACCCAGCGCTGGCTCAATGAATCTTAGTGCCGTAGGCAAAACACTGGCACGACGCCTATAAGAAAACAAAACAAAATGATTCACCAATGCAGGTACACCGATCAAAGTGTGTGATTTTTCCAATGACATAAAATGCTTCTTAAGGTATGGGTGGTCTGAAAATTTTGTACGAGTAGTATTTCAATAATGCCAATATTAACTCGTGTTCAAAGAAAAAAACGACATCTTATAAAATCACAGTTATCCTAAAATTCTCATTTTTTATTTCTTCTTGTAATCAATCTTTTTTATAGTATAAATTTGTGAATACGCTTAAATATCGCAGTACGTTTTTCTATAACGTATTGATCTCAGAGCAATTAATTAAAAATATTTTTACGCCCATATCCATCATCTGTCCTCATTGACAGACCTGAGATAGTTTGGGACAGTGCTCTGTCCTTGCCGGCTCTTCTCAGCACATAATCTCCCGTAGATTTTTTGACTTTCACAAGTGCTTTTAACAGTCCAAACAGAATAAATGATTATGAATTTGAAAAAAATATTTTCCTTTAAGCCTAAGTCACGGGTCTTAAAGTACTCATTGCATCCGGTCTGGCAAGAGTTGTTGCACGTTATATCTGTATATTGCACGTACCCTGACCGTGCAAGGTAAACGTCTACGTAACACTCATTATGACAACAAAACAGAAACCTTTCGGGCGGTCCTCTTTTTACTACGTAACACTACTCAAGTATGTTCCAAGTTATGGAAGAAAAAAGAGAAAAAGTTATGTTAAATGTAAAACTATTCAAAGATAATAAAATCAATAAAATAAAATTAACCTTGAATAGGGATTTGCGTATATAAAGAATAAAACTCGTTAGAAAAGATTTAAGAATATTTTTTTATACTTTAATTTTTAAGAGGGTTTTCTTTCAGAAATACAAGCTCCATAGAAATATTAATTTTTAATATAGATATTTAGAATTTCTTTTTGATTATTAAAAAAGAAATTGAAAAAGAGTTGAATTGGTCAAAATTTAAAATTCTGCATGCCTGTACATTCTAAATTATTTCTTAATCGGCCATATGATTAGGGTTGGTCTAAATCTCATTATCTTACATATTTATCAGCATTCGATTTTTGCCCTGATATTCACATATTTCAGTTAACAAGAAAATGAACTTTAATTACAATTGCTACTCGTATATCTACAATTTTAACGGTATATCTATAAAAGCGTAAAATAATAAATAGATTTTTTAAATTATTGTCCACTCCACGCCCAATCATTATCTATGATGTAAAAGCAAGAGAGTAATAATATGCTTAAAAATCGTTTTCGTTAAAAGTTTCGTTTACTTTAATATAATTTATTTTCTCAATTTATTTTATTACAACATCAACATCTTAAATAAGATTACTTAAGGCTACAATTTACTTCTCATTAACTACCTCGTAGACTACTCATTGCAAAAGTTGTTTAATGATTAATACTAGTTTTATTAACTAAAAGAATGCGTGTATCAACCCTGGCATTGCATAGTCGCTCGCCCAGGGTCGGGTATTGCACTGAAGATGAGCTGCCAAGAGCAAGGCGAACCTCTCTGCATAACGCTCATTACGACAAAGCTTCGTCCGTGTTTCAGACGCACGCTTTTTAGTTTTTCATTTTTTACATTAAGTGTTTTTGTTTTCGTGTTACTGGTGAATTTAATTAGTTTTAGTTCGATTTTAAAGCTTTATATTGCTCATTTAATTGAGAGATCTTTAGAAGTAAAACTTTTTACTTGAATAATAAATGTATAGGCAGCTAGTCTACTCCGAAACGGTTGAAAAACTGAAATTTAACGTAAAATTTAAGCGTTAATCATAAAATTAAATATTACAATCAATTTAACGAGAAATTTGGAATTATAAGAAGATAGAATATGCCATCAGTATCGTGCAGACAGATGCTATCCGAAAGCTATCGATTTTTTCAATTACAGCATGACGTCATATTATTATCTTTTCTCCGTAACGATAAAAAATGTTTCCTTTCTTATTTATAAGTGTTTTAACATGCCCTACGGCTTACAAAATATTAAAAATTTTATTTCAAAATATTTATATCAAATTGTCTCAGTCCAAAATAATATTAAGTAATGAAATTCATAGATAAATAAATCTTAGATTCTATCGGGACAATAGTACTAAAAAGAAATAATTTAACAGAAAATATTTGCTGTTATTTCTTTAATTAAAGTATCTAACATGTATACGTATACAAAGAAATCTAATTAAATCTATGTGAAAATGATGAGGTGTGAAATCTATGTCATTTTTAAATTTTTATATCACTAACTTATTCTTCTGTGTACATAGAAAAATAATTTAACATATAAATAAGAAAAACCTACCCAAATTCGAAGTCAAATAAAAATTCAAGATCAAATAGATTAGCACACAATTAGTAGTTAAGAAGTTGTTTCTGAAAATCTTCCCACAAACATTTTGCATTAAAATGACTGTTATAAATTTTGTTGCATTAAAAAAATACAGTTTGAATACAAAAATATATCAATTTACTTTTTTTTGAGTCATACCATTTTTAATGTTTACATTGTAACCATTATAAGAAATTCCCACAGAGA